CCAGCGAGGAATCGGTAAGTAACTCAATCGGCTAGCGACTGTGTGTAACGAGAATTTACAAATAAGAAATGCCGGAAAATTTTCTAAAAATCTAACGATTGTAATCACATACATCTTCTTTTATTTAAAAAAAATATCTCTTTAGAGTTATTATTTTCAATGACTCCTTACACCGTGTTTGAACATGATTATGCTATGATGCTGGTATTATAAAAATATCAAATAACTCTTATAACATGGTCTTTAGTCATCATGCAGAATCTTTTTTTATTTCTTTTAATAATTTAAACCAATTTTTAAATATAGATCATAATTTAGAAACAAGAATCAAAACTTCAAGTTTAAGACAGATAAAATTTTATTTTAAAAAATATATTAAATATACAGGGTGTCCCATTTTAATGTCCCACCCCAAATAACTCTTCAGTATTGAAGTTTCAAGGAAAATGATCTGAATAAAAGTTGTGGGGTTTTAAGTGAGCTACTTTAAGATAACCTTGACTTTGACCTTGACCTCTATTTTCAAGGTCATTTGAAGGTCAACTTGCGTTTTTCAAATGGGAACCCTTATTTTTTATTACACTGTCTTTTTCTATTAGTTAATTTGAACAACTTTTGTCTGAAACATCCTTTTATTTGCCTAATATTTTTGAGATATGTAAGGAAAACTTGACAACTTTTTCAATATTTAACTTACGATATCTCGCTAACTATTTGTCGGAAGAAAAAGTGGTACTAGACTTTCTTGCTTTATTTAGTCTCCAGAATATATTGTTACAATAGCGCTTTGACTTTTGTTAACTTACTGATTTTTGGAAATTTCAAAATCAACAAATTAACAAAAATCAGGACACTATTGTAACAATATATTCTTGAGACTAAATAAAGTCAAAGCAAGAAAGTCTAGTACCACTTTTTCTTCTGACCAATAGTTAGCGAGATATTACAAGTTAAATATTAAAATAGTCATCAAGTTTTCCTCAAATATCTAAAAAAATATTAGGCAAATAGAAAAATGTTCCGAACAAAAATCATTAAAATTAATTAGTAGAAAAAGAAAATATAATAAAAAAATTGGGCTTTCTATTTTAAAAAATTAAGTTGACCTTCATCTGACATCTGACTAAATATACGTTTCAAGGTCAAACCAAGGGTACCATTGTATGTCTGCTTTTAAATCATACAATTTTTATTTAAAACATTTATTTCTGCAACGCATCGTTTTTGAGATATTTCGTATTATCAACTTAAATGGTCCACTCTGTATATGCACGTTCATCTGTCTAACATCTTTATTTTGTATAATAAGTTGCATATTATATCATTAAGATTAATTAATTCTCTTGCATAATATAATATAATGAAATATGCACAAGAGACAGTTTTTAAGTACAGCGTAATTGAAAAGAAATAAACTTATCTACAGCGGGGCGCCTATAGCGCGATATCATCTCATTTTTCTAAATATTAATCATGAACATAATGTATTATTATATATGGATGGATTCGGCATTAAATGTTCTTTAATTTTTTTCCTCATGAAATTTTTTAATTTTGCAAAATTAAAGCGACAGAAAGGAGAGGCTGAAAATTTTGACACTTTTGAAAAGCTGAATATACCATTGCAAACAATATAAAGTACTATAAAACTTTTGTAGGAAACATTTTTTCATATACTTCATACTTTAGAAGATGTTCGCAAAAAATGAAAATGTTAGTTTTTTTTAGGGGCTGTTTCACTCTCTAAACCTGGAGATACGTCGATAAAAACACATGTACCTAATATTTTTTGTTGCTTTATAACATATCCAAAGCCCATCAAAATCGATGGGGAAGAGTTCCGACAGTTTTCTTGTTAGTATTGTAATAACTTTTGGTTCACGATATCTCGGTAAGTATTTGTCGGGAGAAAAAGTGGTATTAGACCTTTCTACTCTGTTTGGTCTCAAGAATATGCTGTTATATATATGATATATATGATAGTACTCTAACTTTAACATGATTTTGAAATTTTGAAAAGTCATATACAGGGTGTCCGGTAATTAGCTGCCAACTCGAAGTGTGAAGGTACATCGGATTGAGACAAACATATAAGTTCCATTCTGTAATTAGTCAAAAGTCAGGTTTCTGTAATTAATAACTCGACAATTATTGTGAATCTTGCAAAACGGTATGGGACTTTTATATTTGTCTGAACCCTACTTTCTACTGAATCTACTTTCACATTTCGGGTTTGCAGCTAATTATCGAACACCCTGTATAATAAAAAATGGGCCAGAGAGACAAATTCCGCAGATTGTCTGCACAGAGACTGAATTCGACAATTAAAATAGTAGCATGAGCATGAGTATACAGGGTGTCTGAGAACTTTGGGACACGGGCTCCGTAGGGACATAAAGCTAAGTGAGAGGAACAAAACAGTCCTCTACCATAATGTGAAAATCGTAATAGTTCTTTAGTAATAACCGCGTAAAATTTGGCGTTTTCCACGCCTATCGCGGCCTATAGACGCTCCGCGGCAAGCTGCGTGTGCGTAGAGGCTGAGCGATAACGCGTCTCGCGCTGACTGTCGCGATGTTTGGCCGCCGTTTGAGCGCCTTTGCCCGCACGACGCGCGACGGTCAGCGCGAGCCGCGCGTTATCGCTCAGCCCCTGCGCACACACGGAGCTTGCCACGGAGCGTCTATAGGCTGCGCTGGGCGTGGAAAATGCCTAACTTTGCGCTGTTATAATTAAAAAAACTATTACGATTTTCACATTACGGCAGAGGACCTTTTTGTTCCTCTCACTCAACTCTATGTCCCTACGGAGCCCGTGTCCCAAAGTTCTGAGACACCCTGTATACTAGTGCATTCCCTTCCCTTATTCTTCGGAGTTACCAACATTTGTAACACATGCGCAGATACATTCTTCGAAACGAGAAAATGAATAAGATATGGCTATTTTTGGTTCAGACTCATCTGACTCACGCATGTCCAAATCTGAAGTCTTTGAAAATTGTTCATACCATATCGAAGATTTCGTGTTTGAGGACTCGTATGTGTGTCAGTGTTGGAAAAATTTTGTGTCATATCGTAGATCACATCCTCTGAGGAACTTAGTGTTGCGTCATGTGAAAAGATACGGCTATTTTGGGTTAGACCCATCTGATTCACACATGTCTAAATCTGGAATCTTTGAATGAGATATTGATACCATGTCGAGGGTTTCGTGTTTGAAATAAGTTATACCTCTGAGAATCTATATATTTTTTCTAGTGGAAAGAATATAAAGTAAAGCATTCCAGAGAGCAGAGTATTCTCTGTAGTTAATAAAGAAATGGAAGACTTCGCCCAAACCGAACGAGAACTGTCGAAGCAATCTACTCGTCTGAATTCGCGAGAAGTTTACGACGTGTGGGTGCAAAAGTGTGACAAGTGTATCAGATGTTTGGAAGAACAAAGTCGAGCAAAACCGTGATTGCTGATCGGCACCGCGCAATCACGGGTGGCTCGTATCGCGCGATTTAAGGGATTGAAAATCTCTGTACAAGAACGCTTCATACACTGGGTGCTGGACATGTATCAAGAGCTGCAGAATTGGACACGGAGTACGAAAACCGCATATCAACCGGCGCGGTTATCAACGCGAACCATATTGAACCTCCTCTTCAATTTCTCCAAGATGCGAAGAGTACCACGGTGCTCGAGCACGTGCGAAGTGCTATGGAAAGACACAATAATCTTAAGGTGAACACTGTGTTCAATGACGAGTTCATCGCGGGTGACAATCATGCGTTCAAAAGCATTAACACGAGAAGCTGAGAACTCTTTTCTGCTTTGGATTTGGAAAAGTGGTTGGCGAGCAACGCGTCATCGAGCTAACCTTAGCATCTTCGGAAGAATTTCAAGAACGTGATAGTAGGTGGGCACTGTTGCGCGGGTACTTGATCTCACAGTCAATGTGAACAATTACATTTCCATTGCATGCGGGGTGCAACATTGAGTTGTCGCACGACATAAAATTAAAAAAAGCAGTGATAAACAGTGATAAGCAGTGCGAACTAAAGACAACGCATGTTTCGCATGGTCAGTGGTCGCAGCATTATATCCGGTTGAAAGAAATGAAAATCAAGAATCTTCATACCCACATTACACCACAATATTTAGTCTGCAAAATATTGAATTTCCAGTGACGATTAAACAAATTACCAAGTTTGGACATCTAAAAAACACATCCATCAACGTTATACACCATTCAAGATAAAAAGAAGCAGGAAGAAGCATGTACGATACGTTCCGATACGTCTCGCCAGTAAGAAGGAAAAGCATGTAAATTTGTTATATGTGCAAGATCTACCGGAGTACAACGCGGGACATTTCGTGTGGATGAAAAATTTGTCACGTCTTGTGAGCTGGCAACTAAGTAAGAAAAAATGCAAGAAATATATATGTGATCGGTAAGGATACAATCTCTCTCTCTCTCTCTCTCTCTCTCTCTCTCTCTCTCTCTCTCTCTCTCTCTCTCTCTCTCTCTCTCTCCTCTCTCCTCTCTCCTCTCTCCTCTCTCCTCTCTCCTCTCTCCTCTCTCCTCTCTCCTCTCTCCTCTCTCCTCTCTCCTCTCTCCTCTCTCCTCTCTCCTCTCTCCTCTCTCCTCTCTCCTCTCTCCTCTCTCCTCTCTCCTCTCTCCTCTCTCCTCTCTCCTCTCTCCTCTCTCCTCTCTCCTCTCTCCTCTCTCCTCTCTCCTCTCTCCTCTCTCCTCTCTCCTCTCTCTCTCTCTCTCTCTTCTCTCTCTCTCTCTCTCTCTCTCTCTCTCCTCTCTCTCCTCTCTCTCTCTCTCTCTCTCTCTCTCTCTCTCTCTCTCTATGAATACAATATAACAAATATAATATAAAAGAAAAACTCGTAATATCCATTTCTTTTTCGTTTCAGTTGTTTGCATTATTTTCATTCCAACGAAAAACTAGAGAATCATACCATAGATTGCAACAAGTTGAATGACTGTGCAATCATCCTGCCAACGGAGGACAAGTGGCTCAGCTTTACCAACCATAGCAGAAGGGAACGGATTCCATTCGTGGTATACGCCGACATGGAATGCATTCTGGAGAAGACGCCAAATGAAGAAAAAAAATCGTATGTGTATCAGCATCATAAAGTACATAGTATAGCTTATTATGTGTGATGTTCCTACGATGAATCTTTACCCGCGTATCAGTGTCGTCGCGATCCGAATTGCATTTTGTGGTTCGTCGAGGAACTTAAACAATTGGCGCATCATATTAAAGTTATTTTGTATAATAATAATACCTCTATGGAAATTTTATCACAAGAACAGTGTGCAGCATTTTATTGCGCAACGCACTGTCATGCGAAAAATGTATGCGAAAAATCACTCACGGTGGGAGATATACGTGTACGCGATCATTGCCATTTAACCGGACAATACACAGCGGTTCTGCATATTTCAACTGTAATTTAGATTATAAAGATTCCTATTGCCTATGCCGATAGTTTTTCATAATTTATCAGGTTATGATACTCATTTTATTATCAAGGAAGTAGCCACCGCGTTCGAGGGCTCCATTGATGTACTACCAATAACGAAAGAGAAATATATTTCATTTACCAAACATATTAAAGATACAAGTAAAACGAGTAAAACATCAGACTGGCGAAATCATATTAAATCATATTAAATGCGGTTCCTCGATTTGTACAAATTTGTACAAATCAGCACCAGTCTCGACAAATTAGTGTCGTTTCTCACTAGAGACAAATTAAAAATTGTTCAATCCGAATTTAAAAACTTATCCAACAAAGATTTTGATTTATTAATGCAAAAAGGTGTCTTTCCGTGCGAATATGCCAAATGGATTGCAATGCCAAACTGCAGGATCAATGTTTATCGCCGCGCGAGTTATTCTATAGTTCGTTGACAGATGATATGGTATCTGAGAACGATTACACGCACGCTGTGAACGCATTTTCAGGGTATTTTTAATATTTTTATTATTTTTTATAGGACAAAAATATAATGCATATATATACAATAATATCTGTGTTTAAATATAAGAAATAACAAGAATAAACATTATAATTATTTATTATAAAATTGAATTTTAATCCCATGTGTGCGTGCGTGAGTGTGTACGCGCGCGCGCGCATGTGTGTATGTGTGTGTTTTTAATAGTGTGTACTGTCTCCTCTAATATTTAACAATTTTTCCATTCGTTGGGGCATACTGTAAACCAAATTTCTGAATTCCTCTTGCTTTACATTGTTCCACTCCTTTTGCAAAGCGTTGCGAAGTGTTGCTAGCGAAGTGTTTGAGCATTATGTTTTCTTACTTTTCGTTTCAGCATGTCTTATAAATGCTTGATAAGATTCATATCCAAACTCATAGTAGACCACGCCATTCGTTGTATGTTTATTCCAGAAAATCGGTTACTGTACTTGCGACGTATAGTCTCACATTATCTTGCATCAATAAAAAGTTTTCTCCAATAAATTCCTTGCAAGACGCAATGTACGGAATGATAACATCTCCAATGAAAACATAGGGATCCATATTACGCTCAAGAAAATGAGATGTGTATAAGCGTTTGCTGATATTACGGCCCAAAATCATAATGGATCCAATATTAATATTCTCTCTTCTAATATTCTATTTTCATGATGCATTCTCCAGCAAACCATTCTCCAGAACGACAATACACCCGTTGACATCCATCGGGCACTCTAAGGCAAAATATTGATTCCTTCGTGAATAATATACGACTCTAATCATAAATATTTCAATTTTGATGCTCTATTGCAAAATTCAATTAAGTTTCACGATACTGATGTTTTAAAGCTGGCACTAAGACTGGTCTTCGACATTGAAGGTTTCTTTCCGAAAACCTTCGTCGAATAGTGCCGTTGCTCACCTTTACACCAACTTCTTGCAGATTATTTTTTATTTCGACTGATGTAATATGCCGGTTTCTTTATGCTGATACAACTATATACTGGTCATCTTGTGTTGCAAAGCTCGACTTTAGTGAAAACCCGAATTTTTTATTATATTATCTTTTTCTATCACTTAATTTGAACAACTTTTGTCTGAAACATTTTTTTATTTGCCTAATATTTTTTGAGATATTTAAGGATAACTTGGTAACTTTTTCAATATTTAACTTATGATATCCCACTAACTGTTTGTCGGAAGAAAAAATGGTACTAAACTTTTTTTTTACTTTACTTGGTCTCAATAATATATTGTTACAATAGCGCCCTTTTGTTAATTTGATGATTTTGAAATTTCTAAAAATCGATAAGTTAACAAAAGTTAGGGCACTGTTGTAACAGTACATTCTTGAGACCAAATAGAATAAAAAAGTCTAATAGTACTTTTTCTTCTGAAAAATGCCGGGATATCGTAAGTGAAATATTGAAAAAGTTACCAAATTTTCCTTACATATCTCAAAAACTATTAAGCAAATGAAAAAATATTTCAGACAAATTTATTCAAATTAATTGGTAGAAAAAGGTGATAAAATGAAAAATTCGGCTTTCCATTTAACCCTTGTTGTGCGCTACTTTTGTAGAATCGCATAATAGTCATACTGGAGTTTCTTGCGACCCCAATTACAAAAATGCGTACTGCAATGAAACTATTATTTTTTTGAACTGAGAAAAATTCCAGGATATATTTCAAATATATTTTTAAATGATAGCATAATTTTTGTAAATAAAATTTGATCTCAAAAGGAAAAATAATTTATAAAGCAAAAAAATATGAAAAATTACTTTTTTACAATATTTAAAATATTATAGCGAACGTAATTTTTAATATTTTTCGCTAAAAACTCTCAAGATATGTCACTTTAAGAAAAAAATTAATACAATAGTAGGACTTTCAAAAAACTTTCTCCAGATTTTATCAATACCCTCAAACAACTTGTAACGTAAAGGAGGTACTAAAAAATGTTTACAACAAAAGTTGTAGGGGTTAAAGAAGGTCGCCCACTGATGACCCTGACTTCGATCTTCAGATCAAATTTTAGGGTCATTTCAAGGTCTATATCATTTTTTCAAGTGAAAACCTCCAATTTTGGAGGATACCAGAAATGGCAACTGCAGAAATTTACTTAATTCTGATATTAAAATAAGAATTTATGTATTTTTCATCTTACTTTTAGCGTTACCCAGGAACAACGACGTGGACGTAATAGGTTCATATTCCCTTTAGGTTGCTTTATTAACGTGAGTCCACTAGCCTCTCATGTATCGGGGTGCTTTATTGGATAATCGCAAGTACTGTAAGAACGGGCGCGTTATTTTCACCGTAATCATGACAAGGACGTTCGCGAACTAGATGTACATTACGAGCCCTTGCAATAAGATCTCGTATCGTGGTATTATTGGGATGACGTCTGTTTGGATAACGTTGTGCAATTTTTTTCTGCAATTCTCCATTACTATTTCAATGTACCAGGAACATAATGTATCAGAATTAAGTAAATTTCCGCAGTTGTCATTTCTGGTGTCAAAATTGGAGGTTTCCACTTGAAAAAATCACATAGACCTTGAAGTGACAATAAAATTTGATCTGAAGGTCGAAGTCAAGGTCATCAGTGGGCGACCTCCTTTCCTTTCTTTTTATCACGGTGGGGAAATCCTCATGGATACCCTCGACCCTTGGGGAGGTCGAGGGTTATGTTGGACCCTTACCGGCTAAAATCCCACCGGGGTGTCTACCAATCGGGTGCTTAAGGGTCTTAAAAAACTGCGCAGGCACTCCCTCACCGACACCCCGATCCTGGGGCTCTAATGGAGCCCCTCACCCAAGTGCCGCGCCCCCTTCCACAAAGGGAGTCGGGGGCGCGGCGTCCCGGCCGGTCGCCTGACCGAATTGGCCTCCTGGTTCCTAATTGGAGAGAGGGGACACCCACCCTCTCTCCTAGCCCCCCTCTTTAGCCGAGGGGGGCGGGGGAGTGGGGCCCGTCCCCAAACGGGCCTCCATTCCCTCCTTACCTATCCTCAGCGACGCACAGGGGGAGGCGGGCTTTTACGCTCGTCGCACCCCCCCCTGCGCAGACGGAGGCGGGCCCGGGGCAGCCGAGGAGGCTCCCAACGAATCGGGGGCGGCTCCTCGGCCGGCGCCACCTCGGGCCCACACCTCCTTTAACCTCTATAACTTTTGTTGTAAACATTTTTTAGTACCTCCTTCACGTTACAAGTTGTTTGAGGGTATTGATAAAAATACATATTCGGCTTTAAAATAACCTTTAAATGTTATGGGACTCCTATCATAATTTAGTTATTTGAACGTAAAATTTTTCGCTCTCTTCATTTCTGGAGTCAAAAATAGTGGTTCCTATTTGAAAAATCAAAGTTGACCTTCAGATAACTTTGAAAATTGACCTCAAGGTCAAAGTTAAGGTCATCAGTGTATGTCCCCCATTGATCCCTACAATTTCTATTTGTAACATGTTTCGCGATCTGGCTTACCTGACGAAATATTTCCGATTGTCTATTAAAATGGACCACCCTATATAATAAATTACAAAGTAGAACGTTTTTGGTTCAGCTAACGAAAGGATTAAATTTTATGCAACTACCGATTTTTTCTTAACTAAATTTTTTCTAAATTTTAAATTTAACAACCACTCTAATATTTATCAGTAACTAAATAAACATTACTCTGTAAAACCGATGATTTTAGGTACACAGCATGGAGCTCAGAACGCTGCCGGCTTGTCTCTTGCCCAGACCAAAGTCCGAAAACAATTTTGCGAGCCAAGAACTTACGAGAGAAGGACGGAGGATCTTCCACAAAAGCGACACATTCCATAAGGATTCGTATCAATGACGACACTCCTTTTACTAGCGTACGCAGAGATATTAACGGCTCCATGTCGAAATAATATTAGGATTTGTTTCGTTGATAGGACAAGTTGGTGGTTTTGCATCCTGCGCTTAGACGATCCTGTAGCAATGGTCTATACATAGATACCGGTCATGCCAATAGCCCGTTAGCAATCAATTTACAGCACTTTCTTATATTAACTTATATGTTCGTCTAGGACTGCAAAACTGCCAAAACAAACGAGTCCTTACAAGCTCCAACCGTGATATATAAGCATATAAATCTATGAAAAATTTCGCTCAAAAAAAAAATAACACATTTACCGCTACATATTATATATAATTAATAATATATAAAAAAACATCGATACACAAATTATATATTACATAAGATTTTTTGCGAAAGGAAGATTAAATTTGGAAAAACCAAATAGAGAAATTTCACGCTTTATCTTTCCAACTTTATTTGACTTTTTTTAGATCGTAACAATGGAACGTAACGTTTCACACTACTCTTTTCTTCTATCACGAAAAAAAAGTTTAAATCTTTTCCCAAAGTAAGGTAAAAAAAGAAGAGGATTGTATCCCGGTTGGAGAACATGGAGCCATATTTTACGCTGTGTCTCTTCATTGAAAATAATCGCAGCGTCACATCAGATGCAATATTAAAGGACAGATAGACGCAGCGAAGAATGAAGATCTCAAAGACGACGAAGAGCAGGCCTAGAAATATATAAAAAATATATAGCTCTCATCGCGTGAACAAAACAAAAATAGGTATAATCTTAAATAACAATATAATGATGCGTAATTCTCTGTGATTTTGCAAATTGACGTTTCGCATCTTAGGGAAGAAAAAAGATCTATATGAAAAATTAGGATGTTCTTTTTTTAAGGCAACAACTAACATAGAGAATCGTATGTTGTAAGACCAGAGTATATCAATTAAGTTAACATGATTCATTTTTAGCTTCGTACTGCGATAGGATCGCGTATATAATAAATAAAATGAATACTAACGCGTAATAATTCTTGCTGAAAACATAAGAAAAAAAAATGAAAAAATGAAAAAGGATAGATTCACGAAAAATGGATCACTCTTCTTAGGAAAAGCTTTTTCTGTTTTTGCAGATGCGAAATAAATTTGAGTTCGAAACTCGCTGATTTATTAAATTAATCATTATTTTGCTATATTTTAATTTGCTTCAAGATCATAATAACTGAAGCCGAGTAATGAATATACCCAGCAAACACAATGTTGCATGTAACGTGCATGTTAGTTGTAATTTCCTATTCAACAATATAACTGTTATATAACACATGTGTTTTTCCTATTCAACAATATAACTGTCATATAACACATGTGTTATATAACAGTTATATTGTTGAGTAGGAAATTACAACTAACATGTACGTTACATATAATATTGTGTTTACTGAGTATATTGTAACTGGGTATCGGATATATTCGACAGACCGTCCTGATGTATAAATAGGATCGGTAAGAAGTATTATGGCCATATGTTTGAGAGAATTTGCAGACGAATTTAGACAGAGAACAAGAAAGAGGAGATGTAGAGTTGCGAATTAGGATTATACGGATTAGCTGGTTCAACAAATGCTACCGAAGGTCCGAAGGCTGTGTTTTCTTGTTGAGAGTTCTTCGGGCCGTTATGGTTATATGTCAATGGATGAATATTAAGTGAAATGCAAGCAAAATATCTTTTTACGAGACGTAAACAAAAACGCGATGTACTATAAAAGAAGATGAATATTATGTAATAAATCATTATTATTGTTACGATTATTACTTGCAATGATTACTACACCACTACCACATAATTAGGTAACTAAATACATAATAAGAATATGTGCGCGCGCGCGCGTGTGTGTGTGTGTGTGTGTGTGTGTATAATACATACATATTATATAAATATATATATATATATAAAATACTATGCACATAGAAAGAGAGGAAGAAAAAGAGGGAGAGAGAGGCAAAGAGGCAGGGAGAAAGAAAGAAAGAGAGAGAGAGAGAGAGAGAGAGAGAGAGAGAGAGAGAGAGAGAGAGAGAGAGAGAGAGAGAAAGGTTATATATAAATATCGCGTTGCAAGATAATTATGTAATATTCAATTACATGCGAAGTTGTTTGACACTGACTAAACCAATATTTACAAGTAGTTTATATGTAATTATTTCCCCCCCTAAAATTTCATCAAATTATATTCTGTTTAAAAAGCGTTTTATAATCATCTATAAAATATACCGATTAATAGATTTTATTTTATGTATTTTATACCAATTACTAATTGGAATTGAACAAAATATTCTCTTATTTTCAAGTACCTTTTAAGAAAAATATATTCCATGAAAATCAAATTTGTGAGACATATTTACATGCTATATACTGTCTAACAATCAAAACTTCCTTTTTAATTTTCCAATCTAAAGAGCAAACAGATAAATTTACAACAACGAGTTTCTATATAAAAAATTATAATACAACAAATATGATTTTATGTAAGAATAGCTTAAAAAATGAAAGTTCTTTTCTGTCGGAACCTATCAGTGCGTATAAATTAATGAATTTTATACAAATTCAATCCTCTCTATGCTCTTTAGAATTACTAAAGGAACGTTTTTACATTATTACTAATAATATACATGCAATTGAATATATGCAATTGAACACAACAAATGTCACTCGCCTTTATCTTAAATTCACAATTGCTAATATTTTTTTCGAATTAAAAATATAAACTGATTATCTATATACATTTCTTTTTTTTACGCGAGTAGACTCCATTAGTGAATGAAAGAATTAAGCTGATGGTTTTATTTTTTCTTATTGATACGTGCATATACATTTTTGCAAACACATGTACATACATTTACTCTATATAAAAATTCAAAAGTTTCACACACACACACACAAAAATACACACATTTCATACATATACATACAGAGTGCCTGATACATTATGTATATCCCGCCCGTATGCAGAGCGAAACTCATTAAACCAAATAAAAGTTCTTTACCATTTTTCAAACAGGCAAGTGCATATGATATAATGGAACGTGTTTTTTAGACTCGTCTAAAATGAATTCTTATCTAAGATATCTGAATTAACTGACAATCTCAGAATAACAATGGGTGATGTATAATATTTAACAATATTATAATATACGCTTCCATTGTCTAGAATTATACACCGCAAAGAATATTAAATTCAGACATCGTGGACGAAACTTCATTTTGAACGAGACTAAAGAACTCATCCTACTACATCACCTGCACTCATTTGTGAATTTTCTTTAATTAATAATTAGAAATCTTACGTGATTTATTGCAAAATAGTAAGGGATCTTTTTACTCAATTTGATAAACTTTACATGCATATGAACGAATTTGCGTGATGAGTTAGAAATACTCAGTGTATAAAAATAATCCAGAATGAAATGTACACATAAAAGAGAACAAAAGAGAGAGAGAGAGGGAAAGGGAGAGGGAGAGGGAGAGAAAGAAAGAGAAAAAGAGAATATGAGAGAGAGAGAGAGAGAGAGCTGGTACATGTATGTACATATAGGATGTTAGAAAAGTCTGGAAACGGTCAAATATCTCGAAAACGAAACGTTTCTGACAAAAATGTTTCCAACCAAAGTTGTAGGGTTTTAAAAGTTCTATTGAATGATCATATTTATTTGATCTTGAGTGGAGGGGTTAAGGCGAGGTAAAGGCCAACATGATTTTTTTAAACAGAACACCCCATTTTTTATCACACAATGTCAAAGATGACAGCATTTCCGAAACACTACTTGATAACCTATGTTTGTTGTGAATTGTCTGAGTTATTAGAATTTACGGTGCCGCTAGCATTAATATATTATCTAGGATGTACCGCGTGAAGGTTGCATGGTCGGACCCCTGTGTGTTGTGTGTTTCTGCGTGTGTGTGTGTGTCAACAGAGATAAGGACCCCGCGGTTCGTCACTCCCGCAATATTTAATGACTCCAAACCCTCTCTGCTGTGTGTGTGTGTGTGTGTGTGTGTGTGTGTGTGTGTGTGTGCGTGCGTGCGTGCGTGCGTGTGCGTGTGCGTGTGCGTGTGCGTGTGTGTGTGTGTGCGCGCGCGTGCGTGTGTGTGTGTGTTTGTGAAAGTAAGAAGAAAAAGGAAATCAATCTATTTTTCATGTTGAAGACATAATTTTTGGCATTATATTACACATTTCCATATATGTCATTCTAAACATGTTATATATAAATCGCATAATAACCACATGAAAGAAGAATCGATGCATACAAAAGATTGGGGCGTTTTAATAATAAAGTAGTCATAGACCGCATGATCAACATTTTTATAAAATAATCTATGTAAATAGTCTAAGATTAATCTCCTGGTTTGGAACTAAAAAAGTATGCATTACCTTACATACATGTACACATATATACGCACGCACACGGCACATGTGTGTGTGAGTGTGTGTGCGCGCGCGTGTATGTGTGAGAAAGACAAAACAAGCTGTACTTTTATTATGGCTGCTAGATATTATTATTTAGCTAGTATCTATTTATATCAATGAAAAGAAAAAAAAAAGTTGCGGCAAAAGGAAATATTTAAATTAGTACTTTATTCGCACCACATATGCAAAACATTATATGCACATACAAATGTACATGAGACAAATATGTAGAACATTCTATGAAAAATTGAAAAACTAACATTTAGAATTAAATAGAGATCACTTGACTATATGAGACATATGAACTTTAATTCCATAATTGCTAACAGACAAGAGTGAGAAATTATTAAATTAAGAAAGAAAAAAAAAGAAAGAAATAAATAGTCTTTTGTAGTATAAAACAATTTGAATTTAATCAAAACAAATGCAAAGGATCCAGAAATCAGAAATAGATCGCAACACATCTACTTTGACATAAATTACATAAAAAAAGTTTAAAAATCAAAACAAAACCGACAAGCCTATATTAGGTATAAAAAATAACGAGCACTAAATCGTGAAAACATACACGTAGTGGTACATAAAAGTCACTCAAGATCGATCAAAGCATGGCAATTTGGCTGAGATGATGATGGATAGAGCACATAAAATAGGACACATTTGCGATAGATCATGAACGTGTTTTATATCTCACATATCAATCGTTACA